GGCGGGGGGACGGAGGAGTCGGGTTGTGGTGGAAAACAGTAGCCTGGGGTTGTTCTTCGCCTCCAGGATTATCCTGGAGTAGAAGGACGACTTGGCCGAGGCTAGAGTGGAGCGGTAAATTTTGAGGAGGTCCAGCCAGATTTGTCGGTGGACCGTTAGGCCAGATTTGACACAGGTGCGTTCAGCAGCCCGCACCTGGCTTTTCAGTGAGCGGAGGTGGGTGGTGTACCAGGGGGAGGAGCGGGAGTAGGAGACAGTGCGGGAAGTGATGGGGGCAAGAGTATCGAGTGTGGAGGAGAGGGTATTGTGGAGGAGGGAGAGAGGAGAAGAGGGGTCGGTGAGGGTTGAAGGCCAGAGGGAGAGGAGTTCAGAGTTCAGAGGAAATACCAATTGACAATACTCTTTTTACACTGCCTTGGTCTTCAACAATTTGACTTCTGTATAGTTTGATAGACTCACTACGACAACAACAACAGGATTACATTTGTATAGCGCCTTTCATGTCGGGAGGATGTCCCAAGGCACTGGACAGAGTACAGCATTTCAGACCCAAGCTGGGGTCGGGGGAGAAGGGAGGGTAACCAATGGCATGGTCGAAGAGGAGGGTTTTGAGGCAGGACTTGAAGGAGGCTATGGAGGGGGTGAGGCTGAGTGATTGGGGAATGGAGTTCCAGAGGTTTGGGGCAGAGTGGTTGAAGGCTCTCCCACCAATGGTGGGGTGGTTGGGTCAGGGAACGTGGAGCAGGCCAGAGCCGGCTGAGAGGAGGGAGCAGGCGGGTTGGTAAGGGGGTAGGAGCTCACAGAGATAGGGTGGGGCAAGACCATTGAGGGTTTTGTATGTGAGGACCAGGATTTTGAACTGGATCCTCTGAAGGATAGGGAGCCAATGGAGTTAATAATCCTATAATCCTTGCATTTGATATAGCGCTTTTCACGTCGGGCGAGAATGGGGGAGATGGGGTCACGGAGTTTGGTGCGGGAGAGGACAACGGCTGCAGAGTTCTGGATTATGTGAGCCTGTGGAAGGGGGAGTTGGGTAGGCCGACAACCAGGGCGTTTGCATAGTCGAGCCTGGAGGTGATGAAAGCATGAACAAGAGTTTCAGTGGCGTGAGGGGTGAGGTAGTGGCGGAGTTGAGCGATGTTACGGTGGTGAGGTAAGTCAGAGCGGGTCATGGCTTGGATGTGGGGAAGAAAAGACAGTTGAGGGTCGAACAAGACACCTGGTTCCTGACTGGCTTGGTGAGTTGTAGTGAGCAACCATTGAGGTTGATGCTGCCAGAGCCTGAAGTCCTGAGGCGCTGGCGCGAGCCAATCAGGAGGGCCTCAGTCTTGTTCACATTCAACTGTAGGAAGTTTGCCCTCATCCAGGACTTGATGTCCGACAGACAGTCTTGTCAGGTCAGCAGTGGTCCTGGAGTTGAGGGTGGAGTCAGAAAGATAGAGTTGGGTATCATCCGCATACATATGGAAGTTGACCCCATGTCTGCGGATGATGTCACCAAGTGGGAGCATGTGGATATTAAAGAGGAGAGGGCCAAGGACAGACCCGTGGGGACGCCAGATGTGACAGTGCAGGGGCTGGAGGAGAAATCGTTAGAGGCAACAAGTGGAGACAGTGAGAGAGATAGGAATCGATCCAGGCATGGGCAGGTCCGTGAAGATTAAGTAAGGAGGAGAGGCAGTGTATGAGGATGAAGTGGTCGACAGTGTGGAAGGTGGTAGAGAGGTCGAGGAGGACAAGGAGGCAGAGGGAGCCCTGATCACAGATGTTCAGAATGTCATTAGTGAATTTGACCAGGGCTTTGACCTCCGGATTGGAGGGATTCAAGAGGGAATGGCGAGAGAGAAAGGAGCGGAGCTGGGAAGGGATGACTCGTTCCAGGACATTGGAGAGGAATGGGAGGTTAGAGATGGGGGAGTAGCTAGAGAATAGGGATGGGTCCAGGGAAGGTTTTTTCAGGATGGGGGTGATGACAGCTGTTTTTAGGGGGGTTTGAACACAACAAGGCTGACCAGCATTCCTCAGAATGTTGTTAATGTTTTTAATACAATCAAAGTGACATTGATAACAACAACAAAATTATATTTGTATAGCGTCTTTCACATCGGGAGAACATCCCAAAGCGCTGGACAATCAGTGTTTCAGACCTGAGCTGGGAGCCGGGGTCGGGGAGGGTGGAGGGCAGGGGGGCGAAGGAGGGTGATCGAAGGCACAGTCAAAGAGGAGGGTCTTGAGACCAAAGAGGAGGGTCTGAGACCAAAAAGGAGGGTCTTGAGACAGGTCTTGTGGAGTCCTGTAGCTCAGTGGTTAGAGCACTCGCCTTGTAAGTGAGAGACCTGAGTTTGATTCCGAGCAGGGCGAAATGTTGGGCAAGTTTCCCTACTCCACACACCTCTGTTTAACTAGCAGTAAGCAGGAACCCGGTTATTAATCGATTGGCAGATCACTTTTCCAGGAATAATAATCCTTTTAAAAAAAACCAATAATAATTTGGACACTCAATCCACGACTGTTTGTAGGGCACTGCTGTGTACAATTGGCTGCCGCGTTTCGCCCACAAAATATACAGTCAATTCACTTTACAGTATATTCTGTGAAGTGCTTTGAGACGTCTAGAAGACGTGATAAGGCGCTATATCAAATGCAAAGATTATTTATTATTATTACCGAAGGGTCAAGGGAGGAGAACGAAGTGCAGAGACTGCGGGATGGAGTTGCAGAGGGTGGGGGCAGAGCGGCTGAAGGCCCCACGCCAATGGTGGGGCAGACGAGGTGGAGAACATGAAGCAGGCCGGAGCCCGCTGAGCGGAGGGCGCGGGCAGGATGGTAGGGGGTTAGGAGGTCGCAGATGTAGGGGGGAGAAAGACCATGGAGGGCTTTCAAGGTGAGGACCAGGATCTTGAACTGTATCCTCTGTGTGATGGGAAGCCAGTGGAGTTGGGCGAGGATGGGGTTGATAGGGTCACGGAGTCGGTGTGGAAGAGGACACGGGCTGTAGAGTTCTGGATGATCTGCAGCCTATAGAAGGAGGAGATGGGGAAGCCGACAAGCAGGGCGTTTTCATAGTCGAGCCTGAATGTTATGAATGCGTGTATGAGGGTCTCGGCGGCCTGCGGTATGAGACTGTGGTGGAGCCGGGTGATGTTGCAAAGGTGGGGGAAGGCAGAGAGGGTCATGACATGGATGTGCGGTAGAAAGGATAGTTGATGGTCAAACAACACGCCAAGGTTCCAGACTGGCTTAGTAAGGTGGAGTGTGCAACCATGGATGGTGATGTTGTCAGCGCCTGAGGTGTGGTGGCGCTGACGGGAGCCGATCAGGGGAGCCTCGGCCTTGTTGACGTTTAACTGTAGAAAGTTAGCTCTCATCCAGGACCAGATGTCTGCCAGACATTTTGTCAGGACAGCAGTGGTACTGGAGTCAAGGGTGGAGGTAGAGAGATAAAGTTGGGTGTCATCCACATACATGGAAGTTGATCCCATGTCTGCAAATGACAGCACCAAGAGGGAGCATATAGATATTATTATTATTATTATATTGAAGTGGAGGGGGCCAAGGACAGAGCCCTCCTCTTGATGTATTGGGTATTACACCTTTGTAGTGTATTCTCATGCTAGCCCCTGACCAGTGGTTTCACAGAAACTACTGACCAGTTCATGCTGGTTCTTTCTTTGTTTCACATTCCTTCAGGCCTTCTTAATCACTTTCCACATTCTCTTATCAAAGAGGATGTCTTTATTCATGCTGCCTCCAGGAGCCATCTGTGTCTGCCACCATTACAGTCTGCTTCTCAAGGTTGGAATACATACAGGCTGAAGAACAAAGTCTCACGCTCTCTCTCTGTTTCTCTCATGAAAAACAGCCTGCTGAGATGAGAAATGGAGGATGGGGGGGGGGGTGTTGGCTGCAGCCGTACTCTTTTTGTCAGGATCACTTAAGTGTGAGCACAAAGCGGACCTAGCAAAAATCACCACCATACAGTTGTATGCTGGTTCATCAACCCATTTCTGAATGCTGCCTACTGATGCAATTTTGTGCATGCCTGTCTTTCTCTACTGTTAAAAGGAGCCGGCTTTTAGCCCTTCCAGTGTTCACTCCCTCTGGCAATAGCCCTATTTCCATAGGTGATGCATTTTAACAGGTAAATCCTAAACACTGTTGTACTTGGCTCCCAACTCCCCATTGGCTGGCAATTCCATGTCATATACAGTACTTATCAATTCCTATTCCATTACATTTTGAGAACTTACCTTGTTCCACTAACTCTGCTCGCAGCATCCTTTTGGGAATCAGGTGAACCCTGTGCTGTTACTTAACTTGCACAAGCTTTGCTCTGGGACATATACACATGTTCTTTCCTCGATCCTCTGCAATCTCCACTACTCTCATTCCACCATCGCTTATAAATTGGATCCCAATAAAACAAATTGTACTTAAGAAATTGGAATAATAAATGTGCTAAATATCCTACAAAACGGCAGATACCGTTTCATTTCTGCAAGTGGCTGTGGTACTTTGGAAATCTTGAGTCATAACAAACTTAATGTAATCTAAATATAAAAGGTGATTATCTTATTTGTAGGATATTATTGTGCAATCACTATCTTAAGTTAACCAATAAATATTACGTTCTTAAACCCTTTGTTTTTGCACCTGACACAGCAATTAATATGAAATTTATTGCTGTTTACCTAAGTAGAAAGTAGGAACCCAGTTGTTAGTCAATTAACGGATCACTTTCAGGGATAGTAATCCCTAAAAAAATGTAGGCATTCAATCCACAACTGTTTGTGGGACACTGTTGTGTGCAATTGGCTGCCACTTTTCGCCCAAGAATACACTGTCAATCCATTTTACAATATATTTTGTGAAGCACTTTGAGATGTCTCAATGACGTGATAAGGAGCTATATGAAATGCAGGGATTATTATTAGTATTAATTTAAGCGAATGAAAGATTGTGCTTTACTCAAAACAGAATTGTTCTTTTGATATTAGATCAGTTAAACAGTCGTGGGACAGCTCATATCCGTGGTATTAAAAGCCAGGATACATCTCACATTGCATTTGGAACAAAAGTACTTGGACCTCAACCAAATAGTGGAAGAAAAGGAGGAGCTAAAGATGTAAGCAAGTTTTAATTATATTGGGCATGGAATTTCAAAATCTCAAGTGTCTGGACATTAATATTCAAAGGAGTGATATTGTACTTTGAATAAAAAATAACTTATTGACTGGTATGTTACCAATTACAAATGTTCTAACACTTGACATCTGTGTTGAAGGAATATCACAAGAGGTTCGGATTAAGAAAGCTCATTTGATCTCATCCTTCCATATCTATATTGTGGACAGCTAAATAGATATTTATGTGGAGGTTAACCTTTTAATCAGGGGAGGGATTTTTTCAAAAAAGCTACACTGGAAAGAAAAAGTAGATGTTAACTCAGATTAAAGCTTTTGAACATTTGTATTTTGTTTTAGAAAAAAAGACTGACAACCCAAGATAAGTGGATTTTTTTAAAAAAAGTTTCCACAGATAATATTTGTTCTTATTCAGATATTGGTTTCATTGGATAACAGAACAGCCAGGTCTTCCTACCAGTCTCGCTCAGGCAGAGGAGCAGGTTCCGATAGACCACTTGGCAGGTTTGAACGACTGACTGCGACAACCCAGGAAGGTACTCACTCCACAAGACAAACATCAGGCAACTCTACTTCAGGTAACAAACAAGAAATACAACAAACCTCTTGGCAAATTATTGGCAAAGATTAAGGAGGGGGTCTGCCAGGTTGGTGCATCAAGTGGACAACATACAAAAATACAATCACTACACTTTACAGAACCATTATGCAGCACTTTGTGACGTTCTTTGATGCTTTGAGATGTCCTTCCAACATGAAAGGTTGTAAACTGCAAGCTGTATTGTATTGTTTACATTATAAGACACTATATCAAATGCAAGGATTATTCATTTTATTATTAACCTGTTGTGGTATACTAAAAACATTTCTGGAGCCAAAATTTCCCCAAGGCACTCTCTGTGTCTCCTTTACTTTGCTGGTTATCTTGAGCTAAGAATGTATCTCGGTGAAATACTTGATGAGCATCAGAAACTGAGCTGCATTGTTAAAGGTACAATGGCTTCGGATGAGGCATTAAACCGAAGTCTGTATCAAATGCAAGGATTATTATGCAGGACATTATTATTTGGTTACCAAATATGTCCGAAAAGTGTCAGTTCATATAAAATGTTAGCTTCTTTGATTGCATTGCAACAAAATCAGAGCCTGTCCCCATGTTCTGATTAAACAATTGTCCTAATTAACTGCATACCAATTGAGGCACGCCTATTGTATTGCACTTATGTAACTTGTTTTTGTATGATTGTGCCCTGACACTTACGGTAGCAGCCTGACGCTCATTTAGTATTCACAAATCGATGGAAAACTAAACCCTTGGGATAAAATTTCTCCATTCATTATGTTAGCTTCTTGAAATGCTGAGAGGTACAGATGATGTAGATGTGAGCAGGCATCTTAACAATTGGATTAGTGTCTTAATGGCCGGGCACAACATTGGAGGATACAGGAATAGGTGAAGGATTCATAGATTCATAGAATGTTACGGCACAGAAGGAGGCCATTCGGCCCATCGAGTCTGTGTCGGCTCTTTGACAGTGCAAGTCACTTTCACTAACCCCAATCACCAGCTTTCTCCTCATAACCCTGCAAACCCGTCTTCCCCATATACCTATTCAGTTCTCTCTTAAAAGCTGTTATCGAATCGGACTTCACTGCCCTTTCGGGCAGATCATTCCAAATTCGAACAACTCGCTTCGTGAAAAAGTGTCTTCTAACCTCCCCTCTGCTTCTTTTGGTAGATATCTTAAGACTGTGACCACGGGTCACAGACACACCTACCAGCGGAAACAGCTTTTCCTTATCTCGCCTATCGAAACCTTTCATGATCTTGAAGACCTCTATCAGGTCCCCGCGTAACCTTCTAACTTCTCCAGCCTGTCCTCATAGCTAAGGTTCCCCATTCCTGGTATCATTCTCGTGAATCTCCTCTGCACCCTTTCCAGTGCCTTAATGTCCTTCCTGAAGTAAGGTGCCCAGAACTGGACGCAGTGCTCCAGCTGAGGCCTAACCAGTGTTTTGTATAGATTAACCATAACCTCCCTACTCTTATACTCTATGCCCCTACTAATAAAGCTCAGTAACCAAATGCCTTTTTTACTGCCTTATCTACCTGCCCCGCTACCTTTAATGATTTGTTTACTTGAACACCCAGATCTCTCTGTACGTTCACCCCCCTTAAGATTGAGCTACCAAGTATATATTGCCTCGTATCATTTTTCCTACCTAAGTGTATCACCTCACACTTATCAACATTGAAATCCATCTACCACATGTCAGCCCATTCCACCATTCTGTGTATGTCTGCCTGCATTGGTTACAGTCCTCCTCACTATTTACTAAATAAACATAAACATAAGAGTCAAAATCGCAGTGATCCGATTCCAGAGATAATTGAGACATGTTTTATTAACTGAAACTGCTCGTAATGGTGATTTGTGGACTGAACACCCCTGACTGGGAGAGAATGCTTCCTCCTCAGGCCTCTCAGAGTCAAATTGGCCACCATCTTTTTCAAAAATGTTAGCAAGATCCTTTTTNATTTCCATTTTTTGATTGTACATTATATTTTTAACATTTCTTGTACCTGGCGAACAAGCACAAAATTCCTGATCACTGTGGCTTGATTAGACTTTCCCAATCCTATGTAGATCTTATTTGTGGTATGAGCTTATGCCAGCCACATTCAGAGGCACAGAGGATAGGGTACAGTCAGAAAGAAATATTCAAAGATAAAGGGATAAGGATACTATTACTTTCAGGCTGATGAATTCTTTAGTTATTTTTGACAAATTCGTTCAGCCCTTGCCATTTGGAAAATAAAATTCTCCAGCTGTGCTTTGTAGTCTTCATGTTCTCTTATTAGGTCCCACCTCCTGTGAAATTGTTCTCATTGAAGTAATGAATTACTTGTCTCAGCTGGACTCTGTAAATCAATGGTGAGTCCACAATTATAGAATTTGCTGTAACTATTTCCTGGAACAAGATGTTACGCTCATGCATGCGTCTAACTGAATCAGTGCAGTGCACACTGGCCAGGGATATAAGAGACTTCTGAGAAAACCTCATCATAAATTGGAAGTGTTGAATAATTCATGAATAATAAATAATGATATGAACAAGAACTTAGTCTCCAAGATTAATGTCTGAATAGGTAGTAATTGCATCACATGAAACAAGAAGAAAGGCAGCGATGGAATCACCTAACAACTTTGTCATGCAATTAACCACATTTTGTATTATATCCTGCTCTTTGTAACTTAAGCCTAAAAATGTGAATATGTTCACAGAAGAACATCGAATTGTACAGCCGCGTCTCCCACAGGAATCTGCTTCTGATGAGAGCAATCGTAGAAAATTGCATGTGCGCAGTGGTAGCAAGGAGAAGACTGGATTGATCAATGGTAATATTGTATATTAAATCTGTCAGACATGTGCCAAATCCAATTTTATTTCCAGGAGTGTAAAATAGTAACTTTTGTATACAGACAACATGTAGTGTTGCCTTTGTTAAACAAACAGGAATGCTAGATTTTACAAAAAAAAATTCTATTTGATTATACCTTTTTAAGGTTCCAAACCTCAACTGAACTACAAAAACATTGCTTCTGAAAGAGAATGTGAAACAATTTCATGTTCTGATTTCACTAATCTCCACATAAGTAGAAGAATCAAGCAACTGATCTAGGTGAATAACAAGCCTATTAGTTTTTCTAAAAGAAAATATAAAAATCAATAATAAAATGTTGGAACTGGCTGAGAAAAGTTACTGAATTCCAGTGAGTGATCGAACAAAGCAGATCTGCGAGTCAGAAGCCTCCTTGATATTTCCATTTATAACAACCATTAATTCAGCCATCAACAGTGTCAGACTGAGACCATTTAATGTGTGTTATGTTCTGTTCATATTTTATGGGATTCCCACTCCCTGTACAGCCCATGCTGTACCAATTGTGCCAACTTTAATAGCTGAGAGCACTTTGCTTCCTACTAAGGGAGTGGCTCTAATTGCAGCAGGTTTAACTTGCGAATCAGTGGAAATGCACATTGCAAATCTTAGAAATGGAAATGTCACATGGAGCAGTAGGAATCGCTATGAATATTAAACTAACAACCTGACCCCATAAAGCAGTCACAAGTGTTCCACCAGCTCCCTAGACTATATAAGTTATAAGTTGGCTATTTATGGTACTGAGTACACTGAGTTTCATGTGGCTTAATTTGCTTTGTTTTTACTGTAGAGTTATATTTTAATAGTTTTGGCTTTACTCAATGAGTTCTATGATGACAGGAAGCCCTGCAGTTGGGATCAGGAACATTTTTGAGCCAATCAGCAGGGAATTTGTGTTGCTGAGAGGAAATAATATGGTTTCACACTGGATGGTCTGACTTAGCCATGGGCCTGGCTATTTCTAGATGGTCAACTTCAGAATAATACTGAAAGCTGCAATTCCCATCACATGCAATTTGCACAGATCACAGAGTTAATAAATAATGGATTTATTCTCCACTGTGCTTTTTTTTAGAATTTATTTCTGAAGGATGTGAATACTTTGCTTCAAAAAAATCAACATGCAAAAGGTATTTGTGATCACAATAATCAGAGAACCTGAAAACAGCAGACAAATTATTGCTGGCCAAAACTGGCAGTTGGGAGACGGAAAGTGGAGCAAGAAACACAAATAAGGGGAAAGCGTAGCATTGAGGTATAAATACATAATATTAAAGCAAAAGCTGCAAGAACAATAAACAGCACAGGAAACTAAAATATTTTAAAAAGTTAACCAAGATGGAAATAAGTACTGTATATCAAAGAAGAACAAGCACCAAAAGCAAAGTTTGATTTAAAAAGCATCCATTTCAGACTCAATAGAACAAATGCAAAGTCTTTTCTTTCAATGGAAAGCACATGTTCATCACTGTGACATGCTGGCATCACTAAATGATTTGAGCACATCCCTCTAATTCAAATAGTTCACTTCTGTTATTCACAGCAATAAAATGGCAAACAAGTAGAGGTATTTTACATTCTCAATATTGACAGATTCAATTTGCTCACTCAGTAATTTCTAGTAACAGAGGTAAGTTTGGCAGATGTAGATTTGGGCTTCTTAATTGAAAATCAGCATTTAGTTAGAATTCTTCATTTCTGAACGTTTTCTAAATAGTGTTGGGATTTACTTCAATGGCTATAGTATTCTTGTTGAAGTTTGAATAACTTGCTATCACTTTGTGGTTTGAAGATGACTTTGCATCATTGATCTTTTATTATACACAATTCTCAGTCTGCCAATTACTAAATTGTTATTCATAGAATCATAGAATTATACAGCACAGAAGGAGGCCATTCGGCCCATTGTGTTTGTGCCGACTCTTTGATAAGAGCTACCCAAATCAATCCCATTCCCCCACTCTCTCCCCATAGCCCTGCAAACTTGTCCTCCCAAATTATCATTGCAAACTTGTCCTCCCCAAGTAATTATCTACTTCTCTCTTTAAAAAAATCTGGGAAATAAATGTTTAAACCACTTTAGATACAAAAAACCCAGATAGTCCATTCTTGTGTTCGGCAGGCAGGTTTTGAACTTTTAACATCTGAATTCTTGTATTTTTGTACTTGCTTAGAATATATTTGGCGTTGAGATGACTGAACCATTTTGTTATTACCTCTGCAATACAGGCACCATGTCACCAAGTCATGCAAGATATGGAGTAAAGCCCTGTGAAGTGTCAACGGTTCCACCATATGGTGGTACCTACAGTAAAGATGCCTTAAACAACCACTCCCTGCTTTATCAGAGTCCAAGGCAACCAGCAGATCGGGCCAAAGGTTTGCTGTTTCAATGCTTGATTGAAGTTCAGACTAGTTAGATAATTTGTGATGGTAACTCCTAGATTTATCCATAAACATGTTAAGGATTCAAAAGTTACAGGTTTGTTTTGTTTAAAAATGACTAATTTTTAAACCTGAACTGTGCATGAATTCAAATAATTTTCTTCTTGAAGTGGTCATCCTTCAGTGAAACTTTTTATGTTCTTTATTACAATATTATCTATTTTCTAATAGTCTCAAACTGGTTCTTTATGACAGTATTTTTTTTCAAATTCCAGCACCTTCACCACTAACATATTGTAGAGATTGTTATTAATGTAGCATAACTTGTAGCCACTATTTCTTTAAATGCATTGATAAATAGTCCATTCTTGTGGGGAATTCTGGCCTTTCATGCTTTGCAGCATAGATTCACCAGAATTATACCTGTATTGAGGGGATTTAGTTATAATAACAGAATGGGCAAAGTGGGATTGTACTCTCTTGAACAGATAAGATTTAGGGGGAAATCTAGTATTAAAGATTATACAGGGAATTGAAGGAATGGATAAGGAGAGACTTTTTCCTATGGTTGCAGAAACCAGAACAAGAGAAGAATCTAAAAATTAGAAGACATTTCTTTACTCAGAGAACTGTGGAATTCATGTCCACAAAGGACATTTAATGCAGATTCAGTAAGAATGTTTGAAGGAAATATATAAAACTACTTGGCTAATAAGAGTATATGAGATATGGGGAAAAGGCACACACATGGAATGCGTTTACAGATCAACCATGATCTTAGAAACTTTTGCAGTAAGCTTGATGGCTTTGAAGCGCTCCGGGATGCTTCCCCGTGTGAAGAACACTATATAAATGTAAGTTGTTTTTGGCCTACTCTTGCTTAAGTTGAGCAAATTGTACTATAACATTCCTAATTTATGGAGGGATGTAAATGTGCTGTAGATTTCTGGATTTAAAAAAATTACAATTAGTTTCCAGCGAGAATTGATTTCTGCATTTTTTAATTATTTGGCGAAAGACAAATTAAAATTCAGCAAACATGTTGGTATGAAAACCATGAAATTTAAATCTTGCAAAATGAAAAGGTTTTACAGGAATAATTTTGGTAGCAACCTGTGCATCAAGTGTGGAACGTAGTCACTGCATTCTACTGCAGTATGATTTAGTGCTATACTTTAACTTGTGCTGAATTTGTACATTGGCATTCTGTAATTTACTTTGTTCCAAAATATATATTGTATGTGGGTGGATATGGGGGGGTGTACTGGTTGGCTTTGGGCTGCTTTGGGCAATCACGACTATGCTATTCATGAAATCATGTAGAAAAACATCTAAATGTCTAATTCCTCTCTTGTTATTTATTGTGTGTGTCTTCACTTAGAAAGATCCATAGAAATGTAGTCATTAATTATATGTATTTAGCAGTCTTATTATGTTTGCATGAAGCATCATTTTAGTTGCTTATTATCACAAGGCTCTTTTGCAGTGTCCCTTTTGTAAAGGACTGACCATAAAGAATTGTGTGGGCTGCATGAATGGACAACACACACAGTGTTCGTCACAAAGAACATTAACTCTGCAGCAATTATTTTTTCCTGTTGGGTGTAGTGGGCAAATGGATGAACATTGCTTGGAGTTTGTCAGCTTTATTTATTCATTGTTGAAATTTTCATTAAAACATTACAGCACAATTAGAACATAGAACATAAATCTGTTTTGAAAGATTAAATAGTTATGTAGGTGATTATTCTTTCATTCATTTTGGTTGCCGCAATGTTGCAATTACAAGGTGATTTACATTTTTTTTTATCCAGCTGTCTAAATTTTTCATTCTTCCTTGCCATGGGTAAGATAATATAAGATGGAAGATGGGAATAAAGCATTATTTATTCACTCTTGTGCATGAGAAGGATTTTGATAACATAAGCTACAACTTAATTAACCCTTCAAGGCTATCAGGTAGTTGTTTTTACAATGTATGATGCATTTGGATTTTGTTCATTTTAATCACCTAGTGCCATTCCTGCAAGATTATTCTCTCCATTATAATGCAACCCTGAAATGGAATTGAAAACAAGGCTTCACTTTGTGTTCTTGAGTGAGAACGACTGGGAACTGTGACATTGGCACAATCATCTCTTTTGGGGAAGGGAATCTTGGTGTTATTGCAAATATTTGTCGCCACACTGTACTTAACGGGAGAGTGTCGAGTGACAGGAAAGAATGAATGGTTCATTCCTGCATGATGGCATCTTATCACAATGACACCCACACAAATCTATATCACTTCATCAATCTCTTTACTATGTCAGATCTCCTCAAAACTGCTCCTGGGTAGAAAGAGATTGGCTTCAAGCAAAGACAGCATTGCTATTAGGGAGGAAGTTGTGTTCACTCTAAAAGTTGTATATCGAATATTATAATGTTTAAAAAACACACGTGGTTACCGAAACAAATATGCAGAAATGTTAAAATGTGAATCTAGTTAGTTAATTATTTTGTGCATTACATTGTTTGGAAACAAAACAAAAATCTATCAGTGATGTAACAGACCGTTTAAATGAGAGTATTTATTTCTCTTGCCTGGGGTAATTTTCTGTTCCAAAGAATATAGATGATCAAGAGAGGTTCGGTTAGGCCCGTCAACCTATTTGATCTCATCCTACCTACTCATCCTGTTTTATTCCTATTACAGGATTAAATTATTTATTAAACAAGTCCAGAGCTTTATCCTCAATTACCATTCGTGATAACCCTGTGTAAAATTATTTAATTTATTTTGGTACTTTGTCTTGTTTGATTGAACTTACACTTCTACAGTTGTTCACTTTATTAGGTAGAGTGTCATCTCCCCAAAATTAATTTATTGCATATGGTCCAATAGTTTAAAAATGAAATGGCAATAGCAAATTAAGTAGGCCCTTTAGATTTAAAAAAATTTTCTTGACCCAGTAGATAAAATAACAATAATAATAATCCTTGCATTTGATATAGCACTTTTTACGTCTCCTAGATGTCTCAAAGTGCTTCACAGAATATACTGTAACGTGAATTTGTGGGTGAAACCCGGCAGCCAAGTGTCCCACAAACAGTCGTGGATTGAAAATATAAATTTATTATTGTTTTTTTGAGGGATTATTATTAGGCGTGTGGAGTAAGGAAACTTTCCCAAGGTTTCGCCCTGCCGGGAATCGAACCCAGGTCTCTCACTTGTGAGGCAAGTGCTCTAACCACTGAGCTACAGGGTGTGTGTGGGTGATAGCGCAAGTTCTAATGCATTGTGATTACATGTTTTAGATGAATGGCATTTTCCTGACCATGTAGAGGAGAGTTTGCAATTCAGCTCCCCTGAACACTCCCCAGCCTACCTGAAGCATTCCAGGGAACATTCCCACTTCAAATTAAATGAGAGCAGCAAAGAGAATGAAAATGGTTCAACATCTGTAAGTGAAGATGAGGAGAAGGAACATGAGTTAAAACAAAAGGGCATCTTTACATATTCATCGTGCCCACGATCAGCTCCTCATGGAAAGGTCCTGAGCACCTCAACGGAAGGGCTACCATGTCCGGAGAATTTGAGGAGTGATGGAGATAGGAGAGGCGCAAGACTGGAAGAGGATTTCCATGGAAGTGTTAGCAATGAGGAGGTGAGCTCTGTCTTAAGCAGTATTTGCTTTTGTTTGCAGATGTACAATAATGAGGATAATCCACATGATAAAATATGTCTGGAAGTATCTGAGAGCACATCCAGGGATAATGTTTATATGTATATTTTCGTTATAGAAAGCCCAAGGGGAAATACTTTACTGTGAGAGAAAATCTTGAGCAGTTTATCAGTGAAAGACAAGATGTGTTAGTTCCATAAAATGTGCTCCTAACTATGTTAACCGTATTATACTTAATAATAATAATAATAATAATAATCCTTGCATTTGATATAGCGCTTTTCACGTCAGGAGGACGTCCCAAAGCGCTTCACAGAACACACTGTAAAGTGAATTGACTGTATATTTGTGGGCGAACGCGGCAGCCAATTGCGCACAGCAATGTCCCACAAACAGTCGTAGATTGAAAATGACCAATTTTTAATTATTGTTTTTGGTTTTTTGGAGGGATTATTATTAGGCGTGTGGAGTAAGGAAACTTGCGCAAGGTTTCGCCCTGCCGGGAATTGAACTCAGGTCTCTCACTTGCAAAGCGAGTGCTCTAACCACTGAGCTACAGGACTCCACTTAATACTTAATATTGTAACAAGAACAACAACAAAATTACATTTGTAAAGTGCCTTTCACGTTGGGAGAACGTCCTAAGGCGTTGAACAGTCAGGGATCAGGACCCGAGTGTGGGGGGCAGGGTTGGGATTAGGGAGGGGAGAGGGGGTAGGAGGATGGCTGAAGGCACGGTCTTGAATCGTGCCTTGAAGGAGGCAAGAGAGGGAGCAAGGTGAAGGGATTGTGGGATGGAGTTCCAAAAAGTGGGGCAGAGAAGCTGAAAGCCCAGCCGCCGATGGTAGGGCGGATTGGGCGGGACACCTGGAGCAGGCTGCTGAGCCTGCGGAGCCTGCTGAGCAGAGGGAGCGGGCAGGTTGATAGGGAGTCTGCAGGTCAGAGATGTAGGAGGGGGCAAGGCTGTGAAGGGCCTTGAAAGTGAGGAGGAGGATTTTGAATTCTATCCTCTGAGGGATGGGGAGCCAGTGGAGCTGAGCGAGGGTGGGGGTGATGGGGTCACAGAGCCTGGTGCAGGAGAGGACACAATTCTAAATGATCTTCAGCTTCGGAGGGAAGAATTGGGGAGGCGGACAAGGAAGGAGTTTCAGTAGTCGAGCTTTGAGGTGACGAATGCGTGTATGAGCATTTCGGCGGCTTGAGGGGTGAGGCAGTGGCGGAGTGGGGCAATGTTGCAGAGGTGGGGAAAGGCAGAGCGGGTCATGGCACGGATATGGGGGAGAAAGGACAGTTGAGGGTCAAACAAGACACCCAAGTTCCTAACTGGCTTGGTGAGATGGAGTGTGCAATTGTGGATGCTGATGCTGCCAGTGCCTTAGGTGCTGAGGCACTGGTGCGAGCCAATCAGGAAGGCCACAGTCTTGATGACACATAGCTGTAGAAAGCTCTCATCCAGGACTTGATGTCAGTCAGATAGTCTGTCAGGACGTCATTTGTCCTGGAATTGAGGGTGGAGGCAGAGAGATAGAGTTGGGTGTCATCCGCTTCCATGTGGAAATTGACCCCATGTCTGTGGATGATATCACCAAGGGGGAACATGTAGAGGTTGAAGAGGAGAGGACCGAGGACACATTCCCGAGGAACACGACACGAGATTGTGCAGGGGCTGGAAGAGAAACCGTTGGTGGAGACAAATTGGAGACAGTGTGAGAGATAAGACCTGAACCATTCAAGGACCAAACCTTGAAGGTTGAGGTGAGAGGAGAGGCGGTGGAGGAGGAGAGAGTGGTCCACAGTTTCAAAGGCTGCAGAGAAGTCGAGGAGGCAGAGGGAGCCCTGGTCTTAGATGAACAAAATGTTGTTTGTCATCTTGACCAGAGCAGTTTCTGTGCTGAGAGCAGCACAGAAACCCAATTGGAGAGGGTTGTGAAGGGAATTGAAGGAGAGGAATGAGCGAAGCTGGGAAGCAACGACTCTTTCAAAGACCTTGGAAAGAAAAGGGAGGTTAGAGATGGGCCGGTAGTTAGAAGGCAGGGATGGGTCTAGGAAAGGTTTTTTCAGGATGGGGGTGATTGTAGCTGTTTTTAGGCAGATGGAAACGGTGCCATATGAAAGGGAGAGATTGATGGTGTCAGAGAGTAGAGGGGTGAAGAGGTGGAGCTCGGAGGTAAGAAGAGGGGTGGGGATGGGGTCAAGGGAGCAGGTGGTGTGTTTCATGCTGCATATGGTGGTGATGGGAGAAGAGGGGGAGACAGATTCAAAGATGTGTAGGGAGGGATAGGTAGGGGTCAGAGTGTGGGGGGAGATGGGGAGGGAGTGGCGATTGGGAGGGCAGAGGCAGCTGAACGGATCCCCTCGATTTTAGACTCAAAGAAATCCAGCATCTCCTCACAGTCAGCGCTTGTAAGTGTCGCAGACCTACGAGGTGAGCTTCCCCAGTTTGAAACAGATAGACAAGGTACACCAATGAGCATCAGCCAAGTAGACCACCTGCCTCTGAGTGAAGTGATACCATAACGTTTATACCTCGGGTTAGGTGCTTATTTTTATTTGTTTGCCTGAGTGAACAGTTCTACTTAATGCTGTTGAGTGGTTGAGTGGTACATTCAACAAATTAGGGTCAAAAGTCAAAGATTAAACAGGTTTATTACACAGTAAATAAATATCCTGAAACAAAATCAGTCTTTGCAAACTGCTGTTCAAATACCCGTCCAGTTATGACAAAACTGTGAGTTTTCTGTGCACGGGTTTACTCTGAGATGCTTTTGAATCTGGTTCAGTCTTACTGTTGCTGAATCGATAATGTGCGGCTGAAGCTGTGAGGAGTGAGCTCGGCCACTGGCACCAAGCTTCACCAGCTTATGTCCACGACCGCACCTCAGAAAATGCAGTGCTCCCCCGGTACCTCATTGCAGTATGAGCCTAGACTGTGAGCTCAAAAACCTGAAGTGAGGCTTCAACTCACAACTTTCTGACTCGAAAAGTTGCCAGCTGAGCAAGGCTGACACCAAACAGCCTTTGTAGAAAGAGAAATGTAGTTTGTGATGTGGTAACTATTTTCACTGGCAGCAAACTCATTATGTTTGCTAACGTATCTAATATTGTGGTTGTTTTGCTAGGAACTAATCGGTTTCAATGTAGAGCATACTCGTGTGGAGCTTCTTTCTGTGGAAGCAACGCCTAGAATTTAGGATGAAAAGTAAAACTCAAGAGCTGTATTCTGCCCGCATAGACCTTGGCCTCTGCACAGAACCGAGTGCATAATGATCATCCCTCTATTAATGTTATCGAAGAGCCACTTGCACAGCGTTTTTTAAATCGCATTTTAAAAAAGATCTGAGTGATTCGCAAGTGCCAAGTTGGTGCAAATATTGGTGCAAATTACACTTAAGTCTAAAACAAGCTCTTCCAGGTGGTGTCAGGAAAGGAATTTAGTAGAATTTGTGCTGCTTCAGTCCCCATTTATACAACACGTATTGTTGTAATTATAGCAGCAATTGACTGCCGAACAATGCATTTTGAAATACTGAGTGTACACTTAAAAATTTGCAGAAAATTTGTATCATGGGCCACTCTAATGGCCAGGGATAAATGCACCCAGTCACATAGAGCAGAAAATCACAGGTTTGATTTCTGATCTATACTGAGTTATCTGATCTCACCTGGGGAATCAAGTGAGGGGCTTCACACACCTGAGCTCAAAAAGGAGAAATCAACCAGTAATCCTGCTTCTGATCACTGTCCAATAATCTCCGCTGGCAAGTATATTTTGACATTGGCTGAGGAAAAGCTGTGATGCCCTTCGTAAACTCCTGTGTCATCTCTCATACAGGAGGAGTGCTGTTAAGAGCAACGTAGGGAATATTTGGCAGTGTTTGTGAAACTATAATCCCAGAGTCAATGTCTTCAGGAAAGCACAAGGGAAGACGATGGATTAAAGAAAAAACAGAAAAACTTTACAAAATAATTCTCATATTTCAGCTGTTTGATCCAAGTGACAGGATCATTCTGTGGTGATAGCAGCACAGTGGCCTCACATAAACGCCAATCCCTGTAATTTCAGCATTGCATTTGACTTCTATTAGCATTGTTTCATGTTATTGACATCATCATAAGCATGAGAAATTAGAGACAGTGGGAAGCAAATAATAAGACTATAATTTAATCTCATCTTTCAAAGAATGTTCACAAACCAATCCAGCCTTGCACTTACATTTTACAACAACATCTGATTCCCTGGACTAATTTATAGTTGTATTACTTCCTATCCTAATTCTATATGCCATATATACTAGACCTTTCATTTCCCTGTAATTTTGCTTTGCAACATCCAAAGGATTCTCTATATCCTCTTGTGAAACTCATGCCAGTATTATGCTACAGCAAAATCAAAAATGCCCCTCACAGTCTTTAGTCAATGTCATTTCAGCGGTACTTTTAACCCTCATTAGCACAGTTTCCGTTCTGTTGAGACTGTAATATGCAATGCAAAAAATAATGGATGATAGAGTGTGAGTAAAGAGCTGCACTTTAATCTCTGGATTCAGTTGACATGCATAAACCATGAGAGTGCGTATGATCCCCTCAATTAAATTACGGCCTCATTACTCACAGATGGATACCTATAAATTCCATATTTCTTTCCATTTGCATTATTCTTAGTAGTGCTACTTTGTTTAAATTCAAAATATTTTGTTTCCTTAAATGTCGTTGCCAGATTGATTTAGGTTTCAGCCTTGCTCAGTTGGTATCACTCTCATCTTTTCAGTCAGAAGATCATGGGTTCAAGACCCACAGCTGGGCTTTAAGCTCGTAGTCTTAACACTGACACTCCACTGCATTGCTGGAAGAATGTTGCATTGTCAGAGATGCTGTCCTTCGAACGAGTCATGAAACTGAGGTCCCATTTGCCAATTTGGGTGGACGCTAAAGATCCAATCGCACAATTCAAGAGGAGAAGGGAGTTTATTCCCAACAATCCG